GGCAACTTATCTTCTTATCTAGTTTAAAGCCTTTTATGTCTTTGGAAACTAATTTAATAAATAAACTTTTGTCTGTGTGCTTTGGAATGATGATCGAAATGGGTATGAAAATAGATTTAATTCAACTATAATCAAAGTTAATCGAAGGTGAAATAAGTATTCATAGCCTTGCACCATTTAAAGGGAAACCATAAATATTTATTTTATTTATTGATAATACGCTTTTCCTGCAACGCATTACTCCCATTTAATTTGAATTTTCCCGGAAATTATCGCCCTTTCCTCGGCGAGTGCAATGTTAATCATACGCACCGTTGGACGAGTGCAATTAAAAGAGGACAGAAAAGGAGGAAGGAAGGAAGCCCGCCAAGGCGGAGAAACTTCAATTGGTCAATTGCTGTAAGCTAATTTGATTATCGGATCATTACGATGAAGTGGGAATTGGGGATGGTGAAAAGTTCGGGTGCCGAGTGGAAAATCAATGCAAGAGATTAACAATTACACGCAATTGCGGTCACAAGTGAATCGAAATGGAAATGGGAGGGAAAATGGAAATGAAAATGAAAATGAAAATGCACTGAGAGGTGGAACAAGAAAAGGCACAAAGGACTGACTAACTGGCTGCCTGACTGAATGACTTTCAGACACAAAAGACGTTGGCCATAACGATTTAATGTTGGTCTATACAATGGTCTCAACAATATTTGCAAAAGCACTGAGAAAAACCCCTATCAATTCTTTAATAAAAAATCTTTAGAAACATTTTCGCAAATTTTCCATTTTTTCATCATGATTTTTTGCGAAAAATGTCAAAAAAATAAAATGTCCAGGTTTAAATGCCAATCGATTGGAAATTTAATAACGAGTTCAGAAAGGTATGACAATCCGTATTTGGATCAATATTTTCATTGTTACGGTAAAAAAAACCAATTATTTTTTTGTGACAAATTGGGATCTGGCTTTTTGGTAAAAATATGAATTTTTCCTTTTCGTTTTTTTGCTGTAACTTGGCCAAAAGTGGTCCTACATCAAAAATACGCACTGTTTTGAACAGAGAACAAAATAATAAATAAATTCATAACACTTTCCGTGTGATTTTGGGAAAATAAAATTTTCGCCAATTTTTAATTTTTTTATAAGGGGGTACCCCATGATTTTTTGCGAAAAATTAAAAATCAGTAAAATGTCAAGGTTTAAATGCCAATCGTTAGGAAATTTAATAACGAGTTCAGAAAGGTATGACAATCCATACTTTAAATCAGTATTTGCTTTGTTTTAGCGAAAAAAACCGTTTTGTTTTTTTTTTGGAAATTCGGGATTTCAGTTTTTGGCAAAAATTCGAATTTTTTCTTTTGGTTTTTTTGCTGTAACTTGGCCAAAAATGGACCTACACCAAAAATACATACTGTTTTGAACAGATAACAAAACTATCTATAAATCCATAACACTTTCTGTGTGATTTTGGAAAAATAAAATTTTCGCCAATTTTTAATTTTTTTATAAGGGGGTACCCCATGATTTTTTGCAAAAAATGTAAAAAAAATTAAATGTCCAGATTTAAATGCCAATCGATTGGCAGTTTAATAACGAGTTCAGAAAGGTATGACAATCCATATTTGGATCAATATTTCCATTGTTAAAGTCAAAAAACAAATTATTTTTTGTGGAAAATTGGGATCCGAGTATATTGTACAAATTTGATTTTTTCTGTTTGTTTTTTTGCTGTAACTTGACCAAAAAATCCGAATTTCTCTCAGTGTTTCTTTGCTTGTAACTTGTGTACTTTGACGAGTGGGTGTGTGTGTTTTATTCTTTTTTCTGGCTACGATTTATTTCAAGTGCGTTCAACACTCGATTGCAGACGCTGGCCAAGTGAAAGCCACAAGGAGGAGACGCGAGACGAGCCACCATTACCATTTCCACTTCCACTTTCTGCCGCCTTTCTTCTTGCCTGTTATCGATAGTCATTGTGTGCCACATACCCCCACTCACTCCCTCACTCGAGACCCAAAGTTCTTTATTGATGGCGAATATTACGCCAACTAAGCAAATTAAATTGTTTACATTGACAAAGGCCAAAAGGAGAGGACCAGCAGGACAAATGGCGTGGGTGGCGGTGGACGGGGGCGGTGGTTGTTCGAAGTGGGCGTGGCACATGACGCACAGCTTGCCAAAGAGAGGAGAACAGAACAGAACAGAACAACAAGTAACACACACACAATGGCAAGCCAAGGTAGCCAGACAACAATGGGCAGCATTCAGTAGTCCTGGCCCCCATTTTCCCATTTCCCCAGTTTCCCACTTACCCCACTTTTTGTGTGTGCAGTTTCACCCCCTTTTACCACCCTTTTCTTCTTCCAAAGAAGACAAAATAGATGCACACACTTTTCCAAACACTTTTTGTAGTACTGGAGCCAGGGGGCCGAAGGACGAACGAAGAAAGGAATTCTCCTGGTGGCCACTCAGCAGGTCGGAATTATGCACAGTGATAACTGGCTAAGTCGGCCAGCACCAGAAAGTTGGAAATTAACAAAGTTTTCAACTCTATGATATCCACATCGCATATTACACATTTAATCCAAAAAGTTGTTGAAAAGTTATGATATATGCTATAAATACGGTCAATTGAAAAAAATCTCTTGCTAATTTTTTGGGATTTTTTTTTTTGGTTTTATGAATACTTAATTTATTTATTTTCAATTATTTTTTTAATAAATATTTCTTCTAAATATTTGCAGGTATATTACTACCTTTTTTCGTTAATTTTAAATAATTTATGCAGTTTTTAAGAACTTACAGAACTATATAATTGTAATTGTAATTCTAATCTTGTGCAATATATAATTTTCAAGTAATCAATAAGAATATATTTTTCCTTGTTCCTGTTCTCTTTGCGCAGTCCTCACTGTACCAGTCAGCTCGAAAGGGAGCTGCAAATGTTTTATTGCCTGCCAAAAACACTGGGAGCAAAGAAGGAGCAGGTCCTGGGATGAGGATGGTGATGCTGCCACCGAAGGATAGGCTTCGTTTTAATCGAGTTGATTATAAGTAGAGTGACAAGTTTCAACAGCATTAAAAACTATGTCCCAACAAGGATCTGCCTGAGTGTGTGTGTGGCAAAATGTTTATACAGGATTCAGGATTCAGGTTCCCAAAACCTAGACACACACACACGCTCAACGCGATTTGCGGTTGGCAGCGTTTTGGGCCACAATTTCCCATTTCACAACAACTTTGATGGCCTCCGAATGCAAACAAATCAACACAAAATTCAATGGGGCCACTAGTCCCAAAATCTTGGACAGGAAAAAGGGGATGAGGGGAGGGGGGGGGTATCAGACTGTCCAAAATGCTCTTTGGCCTTCAATAATAAAGTCGGGCATAAACGGCTTCCTTTTCTTTCCTTTTCGGCCCCATAAAAGGGCCAACGTAATATGATAATCAAACTGAGTGCCAACCACGAACAAGTTGAGTGACCCCCGCTGCCCAGAGGCGTGCGAAAAAAGGGGGGAGGGGGGTCCAAATCGAACCCTTGGCAACCTTCTCAATGAGCTTTTGGCCATTTAAAACAATTTCATTTGATTTGGCAAAGCGGAAAAGCGTAAGCAGTTAAATAAAAGTGCTGCCAGAAATGACTTTATTAAATAACTATTAACATTGTTTCGACTTGGGCATACCCTTACATACCCATACACTCGCAAAAAATTAAATGGCTAAAATGTTTTCATTATTATTCAAATAAAATTTGCAAATTATCTTAATTTTATTATTATATTTAATTTTAAAAAAATCAAATGAAAGTAAAGGGTAATTGGAATTTGTTTTTGGTTCTCAACAAAGTCGGAAAAAAAATTCAAGCTGCCACCATGTCCTTGTTTCAAATCCTATTAATTTAAATATTTCAGAATTCCCCTTTTTCCATATGAGATTATTTTATAAAAATATTCATTTCCCATGAATACTAAAAAAACCCAGCATATTCTTAAATATTCTTGGGGAAATTTAGGTCCCAACTTAACTTGTTTTTAACATTTTCGTGGGTCGTTTCCAGAAATATTTCGTCAGGAAATTTAAAAAGACGTAGACCAAGTCTTGCAGCCCCCAAAAAATCTCTGACTAAGCCGGCGACTCCACTCTCCACACTTTTCACGCAGCTGCATTCAACAAGCTGCAAGAGTCGACCTCCACGGGTCAAGGGTCAGGGCCAATGTCATCTGTCGGTTTTTTGGGGCTGATTGCCTCACACCCCACGCTTCGCTTGATTTCGCTTTCGTTTTCCCTCTGTTTTCTGTCAAGATCTGCAGTAATATTAAGAAAGTCCCTCGAAGTATGCTAAATAAATTAAAATGCCTGCGGGACATGTAGCCAATCAATCTTCAAAGATAAATCAGAAGGTTATTTCTTATTGCCGTTTAGCCAGGCGAATGTCAATTTAAATCTATGGTATTTATCTTGGTAAATTTATGAAGAATAAAAATAATAATAAGTGAATATAAACATATTTGTAGTTTTTATAAATATTTTAAATATTTCCTTAATAAATATATTCCTTTATTATTACGAATTATATATTAAGGTCGTATTGGCTTCATTGAGAACTTTTGAGAACTTCGCCGAAGAAGTTGGCAGCCTTGAAGGGGCATTCAAAACTGCTGTTCACTTTCACCGCTGTTTTCTCCCCCAAGAACAATGGGTTTGCCCCAATGCAATGGCCTCGAGTGTGCCGACTTGATTAATAATCTCAATTGCCCGGCAGTTAAACGGGGTGTACAATGCTCAACAGCTCGACAGCTGTTATCGGGCAAAATATTATATATTAATTTCGAAGGGCGCACAAACACACACGCACACACAAGGACCTCCTCTCGCATTTCATTGTCCTTTTCTCGGAGACTGACAATTGGGAGGGAATTACTCGGAGGACGCCCAAAGCTAATGGCTAAATTAATAATCCAATTTCGAAGCCAAATAAAAAAGATTTCTCCTCGCTTTTCGCTTACAATGTTCAGAGGTTCGAAGGTAAACAATGGTATATCCTTTTTTTATTTTCCTTTTCTCCTTTTTTTTCGGCCAGCTGATAAACGATGCGAAGTTATTTACGCGCCAAACTCGAAATGCCGGCCCGCACACACATGAAAAGCGGAAAACTTCTCAGCTTTATGGGCAGAGTTAGGGCTTTTAATTACTTTGTTGCCACTGAAAACACCAAGCAGTACACTCGAAGAAAAAGCAAGCGCTGAAATTAGGATTCGGAATATGGAATTTGGAATTTGGAACTGGATTTGCTGCAGCTCTCGAACGGATAAGATGGATAACGGTAACGGTAACGGTAGCGATAACGATAACGGCTAAGAAGCGCTGGGGTCGCCCGTCGCGGACCGAACTTTTCGCATGTCAACACGCGCCAAAATGTTGCAAGCGACTGAGCAAAAAAGCAGAAAGCAGCGCCCACGCTCGCATTTCCACCCTCTCAGCCCTCCCATCATCCCCCTGGGGCGCTCCTCTCGGCAAAAAGGTTCATTGAGAAAAGCCAGTCGGCTGGGGGGCGGCGGGGGGGTGGCGCCGGCGGACAAAACAAAAATCAGATGGCCATTTTCGCCGAGAAATCTGCACGAGCAGAAGCACAGCTGATGCTGCGGGCGAGCTTTCGGCTTTTCCTGCATTTCGCGCAGCTTTAAGCTCGCGCCAGTGCGCATGCGCGCAGCCTGCAAAAGCTCAGGACTCGCTCTCTGCCAGAAACACTTGTTGCTTGTCCCCAAATTGCATTCAATACTACAAGAACTTGTGCAGAAAGGATTTCATCAAGGATTTCTTAGAATCTAAATAGTTTTCTTATATCTGAACTAAAGTTAAAAAACTGTAGGCACAAAAAATATAAATACTTCTATTATTTCGGCTTAGAAGTGACGGTTTGCAGCCAAGCTTTTTTGGTAGACGGCAGATTGTGCTTGCAAAAAGCTTTCACCCGTTTACCCAGTCAACATATGCTAGGAAAGAAAATATTACAAAAATATATTGAAAAATATTTTGAAAAATTTTGTTCAGTCAGAAACTACTTTTTTGAAAAATTCTCAAAACCTTTTCCATTTTCTATTTTTAATACCCATCTGTTGACAATTTTGTAAGAATTTCAAACCAGGTATGACATTAATTATTGTGATAAATATTGTTATTGTTTTGATCAAAAATCTAAGTTTTTGGATAGAAGAAAGGATTTAAATTTTTGGTTAAGATATAAATTACTTTGACCAAAAATTGTCCGTAACCAAATATAAGTAAGTTTTTGAAGATCTTACAATCTTATAAATGGATTTAAGTCACTTTTTGGCTAATTTACATCATGTTTTTTTTGCCAACAATTAAATGATTCAGGTTCAAAAGCCAATCGGCTTACAATTTTACAAGGAGTTCAACGAGGTGTGATTCCATATTTTCGTTTTTTCAACCAAAATTTGTTTCGAGTGAAAAATCAGGCAAAAACTAGACCATAAATAAATGGTATAATCAAATGTCTAACAACTTGTTTACCTTTATTATTAAATTTGTTTGAAGGCACATTTCGTGAGAGCATTTATGGCGAAATCTAATCTAAATAAATGTGAAAATTTCGGCCGAGAAGCGTTTGCGAAATATGGTAAATTGAATTAATGGCCATCAACGTATGGACAAACAAATCAAATCATGAGCCACCCGCCCGCACACATGATCCTGCCATAATTAATTAAGTTCCGACCTTGTCTGGCCGGCCATCGAGGAGTCACAGGAGTCACCCAAAGCAGCCAAAGCAACCGGGGCAATTCAATTTGATGGTTTCATGGAGGCCCAAACTTTGAACTGTAATTAATATGCTTGAAATGCGAGAGTGTTTTGGCTGCTGCGGCTATCCTGGCCAGGATGTCGGATGCCTGATGCCTGATGCCTGATGCCTGGATATCTGGAGGACATGGCCATGCCATATCAAAGGACATGTGTTAAGTGGGCACTCACCTCGATGGTGATGTGATGGCCACGGGAACGGAAATTGTCATCGGTGCTGCGCAGATTCTTCGAGTCGATTTGCACATTCGTCTGCATCTTGGAAGCGTAACTGAAACGAGACGATAGATGAGAATTTATGGTATGATGACGCTCGGTCATAAGTGAAATATTCTCAAGAACCCAATCCAAAAAAGCACCCATCATAAACTTTTTAAGTGATTGGGTGCGTGTGTGTGTGTGTGGAGAGGCCTCCAAGCCAATGATGCGTGGTCCCGATAAAGATGCCGAAAAAACAAAGTGGCAACGGGCCAAAAAAATGAAATGGCCATCAAATGGCCCTATGAAAATGTCGGCCATAAAATCCAAATGGAACCGCTCAAGGAATTTACTTTATGCGAACAAGTCGCGAAGATCTTAACTTAACTTAAGCATGGAATGAACAAGAAATTCGGAAAGAAATTCTACAAAATATGCGGATATTAAATGGTTGTTTAATGGAATCAAAAAACATGTTTCCAAAAATTATTTCAACTGAGATTTCAAATTATTTTGTGATTACAATTTAAATTATTTAATGTTACTTTTCATTTAAAAATGTCGATCAATAGATGGTGATATTGTTTTATGTTACAAGTTCCTAAATATACAATTTTTTAAATAATTATATTTTTTAAGGACTATAAATTTAAATTTTAGTAATCTAGAAAATAAATAAATTTAATATCTATTAATATTAATATTATTTTTATATATATATAGAATATAAATAAATATAATATATATTATTATTTAAATTAAATTGAGATCGCTTTGGTATGTAACCAATCATCTCAGCGAATCGAGAAACCTTCGCGCCACAAAAGGGAAATTCCATAAAAATTCATGTGGAATATGGCTGAGAATTATGTGAGCCATTTTCATCAGCTCCAGTTTATAAGGCGGAAGTCTGTTCTGCATTTGCCATCTAATGAATGTCCTCCGGAATGCCGCAAGTTGCGGTGAGAAGGGGGCGAAAACCCATCAACCTGGCGTGGATTTTTTCGCTGCTGTCATTGACAACGTGTTTTATCCACTTTGGGGTTTATTTTGTGCTCCTTTTTTACTTTTTGGGTTCCTGTTTTTGCCATTCTTGTTGTTTTTTTTTTTTTGTTTTTTACTAAATTGAGAAACCGCATTGCCGATTAACACAGCAGCCAACAAGTGCAGACATGGCAAATCCATTTCACTCCACCTTTGCAGCGTTTTTGTGGCAACAAAATTTCAAATTTAATTTGCGCCTCTTTATTTATGCAGCAGCTCCGATGGCGGAGAAACTTTAGCTTGAACGCGAATTCCCGGATTCCTGGGCGCCTTGGATTCCTTTCCCTTCCACTGCCACCCAAGTGACAAGCCGGCAGTTGTGCATCCAGCTCAATTTAGTTGCCCAACCGCTCGGGGCAACGCACCATGGCGAAATGGAAGGGCGGGAAAAGCCCGCGGAAAACTCCGACTATGCCATTTACAATGGGGGAAAATTCAGAAGTATTCAAGGCAAAATACCGTTGGCTGGCACGCTGCACTTTCCCCTGGCAAGTAGCCGGGAAATTCATTCATTCATTTATTCAGTCAACGAAAATAGGGTTCCCAATTCTCACAGCTTTTCAACTTATCCCGGTCAATTGAAGCCAAAGGAGCATTAGATGTTTGAAAAATAATTAATATTAAAAAAATACATAAAGTTTATATAAATAAATTAATATTAAAATAAAAATCTATTCATTTAAAATCATTGTATAAGAAAATAAAAAATCACATAGAATACAAAATTAAATTAAAGTGTGACCACACGACGAACACAAAATCAACTGACTTACATAAATTGTAATTTAATTTATGGGTAAGTCAAAAAGCACAATGGCTGCCAATTTGAACACGATCCTTTTTTATTCATTCCAATTAATGTGGCTGCACTTCTCCGCAGGCGAAGGACACCACACAAATTAAGTGTGACCACACTCTCGCATTAATAAAAAAAACCCGACGAACACAATCAACAAAGGCACTTGCATATGCATGCAACGTTTCCCGTTTCCCGCTTTCCATTTGCCAACATTGTTTTCACTGTTTTACAGTGTTTTTCTTTTGGCCGCATTTTCACGGCCCTTTGGGCCAATCAAGTTGCAATTGTTGCCACTGTCAAACAGCAGGGAAATTCGTTGCATATTTGAGATGGCCGCTGCCTGGGTTTTTTTTCGAATGCCGCTTTTTTCGAGCCTCAGCGAATGCGTTTGCATAAGTGATTGCGGATGGATTTTCCTCACTTTTCACTTTTCACTGGGTGAGAGAATCATGAAGTGAATTCGAGAGAGAGAAGATCCTCTTTAAGGGGTTTCCCCCATCACATTGCCACCGGGGATCGGGATTGGGATTGTTACGGTTTTTGTGGCGGCTTTGATTTCGGTTTCAGTTTTGGTTTCAGTTTCAGTTTCGCCATCGCCTTCGTTTTCCATCCACGGCTGTCAAATGGTTTCGCCACTGACAATCGTAGGCCGAAAACCATAAATAGTTACCACCCACTGTCTATTATTCGCAGCATTTGCATCGGCATGTCTGTGCGTGTCCGGAATGCGTATGGCTCTATCTCCACTTCCATCGGCATTTCCATCTGGTTAGTGTCTGTATGTCCCCATTTCCCCATTTCCCCATGTCCCCTGCCGAATGGCGAATATCTGTGAGTAGAATCGGGAATTTCGGGCCGACAATCAGCATTCACTCACGCAATCTACCCATTCGCGCCTAATTCGATCGACATCTCAAACATTCATTCTTTTTGGTTTGGCTTTAACTTGAAGTTAAAGTTGGCTTTAAAAGTTTGCACGTAAAATATACCCTTCATTGGCGTTTTTTCGATTTTGAAAATCGTTTTCTCTTCCGCATGTTAAATTTAACGTAGAGTTAAAACCTCAAAATTGTTTAAAGCATACTTTAAATATAATGATCTCTTTTTAAAATAGAGATCAGGTTATTTTATTACATATGTAAGTATGTTTTAATTCTGTTTGAATAAAATAAAATATTATAAAATAAACTTTTTCGACGGATGTTTTAAGATCACAAAATGATAAATAAATGTTGTAGCTTAAATTTGATTTGGTTTCTCGGTATTTGCCACAGAATATGCTTTGTAGCCATGTGTGTCTATGTAATCATTGTCTGGAGATAATAAACAGCCTCAGATATTTCACTCGCACACGCTGAAATACTGAGATACACAGAAACCCATATAGATGGTGGATGGTATAGTAAATGGGGGGTCCCTTCGCCTCATAAGCATATGACTGCTGTCAGGCCCACCTGGGGGTTAAGGGGGGCTAAGGGGGTTAAGGGGGCGTGGCATCCTAGATTGGAGTGTGGAATATAGTCTCTAGAAGTTGCCATTGTCATTG